ACGGGATCGCAAGCCTCGGCGTTGCTCCCGCGCCTCGCTCAGCCAGTGAGTGGGAGCCGGTCTGTACGTGGGATCCGAACCCTCGGACGGGAGCGCCGCCGCGCTTCCCAAGCGGCGCACTATCCAGTGCGCCACCGGGCCGGCCCCAATCCCAAAAGTTTAAGGATAAAATAAAACAAAACAAAACACTGCAAGAGCATAAACAAATGGAGGTCATGCGATATGAATTTCTGTAAAAATATCTTGTGAAGAACTCTATGTATGGCTATGTGGGCCATTTCTAACATGTAAGAGAGAATCCATGACCAAGTGGAAAGGAAATAAGCAGGAGGGGAGAGAGAGAGGGAGATCCCATCCCACCTAAAGTCCCGTCTTGTTCACCTGAAGACAGTGGGGGCCATGCCGCGGGGGCAGATGCCAGCCTGGCAGCCTCCCTCCACACCCAGGCCACCAGGTGACTGGGTTTGTGCCTTCCATTCCTTCCTTTGGATTTTCTTTTTCATTTTTTAAAAAATTATAACATAGTTGATTGTACATATCTGTGTGATACAGAGTTGAATATTGATATCTGTGTGTAATATGTGATGCTCAAATCAGGATAATTAGTATATTCAACATTACACAATGTAATCATTCTTCGGGGCCCTTTACGCCCTTTACCAATTCCTCCCTTATTCCCCTGCCCCCTTTCCCACCTCTGGTAACCTCAGTTCTGTTCTCTTCTTTTGAAAATTCAACATACTGTTGTGATTGTTGTATCTTTCTTTTTTTTATTTATTTGTTTATTTAGCTCCCACTTATGAGTGAGGACATGTGGTATTTCTCTTTCAGTGCCTGGCTTATTTCACTTCACATAATTTTCTCTAAGTCCATCCATGTTGCTGCAAATGGCAGGATTTCATTCTTTTTTATGGCAGAGTAGTATTCCACTGTGTAAATACACCACATTTTCCTTATCCAGACATCTGTTGATGGACATTTAAGTTGGTTCCAACTCTTGGCTATTGTAAATAGAGCTGTGATTAACATGGGGATGCAGGTATCCTTTCGACATGAACATTTCCACTCCTTTGAGCACATACCCAGAAGTGGGATTGCTAGATCCTATGGAAGATCTATCAGTAGTTGTTTGAGAAACCTCCATACTGTTTTCCATAGTGGTTGCGCTAATTTACAGTCCCACCAACAGTGCAAGGGCATTCCCTTCTCTCCACATCCTCACCAGCATTTTTTATGTTCTGTCTTTTTGATAATAGCCAGTATAAATGAAGTTGGATTTTCCTTTTCCTTTCAGCAAATTTATCTCATTTTACTCTATTTCCCACCTCTTAATATTATCTTCCTAATTATTTAGAGTAACTGGTTTTTTTTTTTTTCCTGAAATGCCTTCACTTGCTGTCCAAACCAGAGAGAAAATATGACTGATGGGAATATTTAAAAAGGACAAATAACATCATTGATGAGGACTGGCCTCGCCTGCCATGTGAGGGTGAGCAAGTGAGCAATTGGAATGGTAGGCTAGGGTGAGGGTGATGAGAGTAACACAAAAACCCATGGAATCGAGCGTAGGTCAACTGCTGTTTAATAATACATATGAACATGGAGTTACTGCAGGTCCTGAAGTGAGGGCTGCAACAGGTGGGTGGCCACAGCAGCCTCTGTGGCTATCCACGAATTTTTTTCAGGGCAAATGATGTGAGGGTTGGTACATTAGTTGAGGAAGACAAATATGGAAACATATACTATAAAGACAACAAGCAATTTTTTGGCTATCACCAATGGGTTATATATACTACTGAAATGAATGGCAAAAACACACTCTGGGATGTGGATGGAAGCATGGTGCCTCCTGAATGGCATCGTTGGCTTCACTGTATGAACAATGATCCTCCAACAACAAAACCACCTACT